GCTCATGAAAGTACCGATATTTAGTAGACAATTCTCTTTAACGAACCGCCTGGTAGACGGATGGAATAAAACAAGTGAGAGGTGTTGGGTGCCATAACCATAATAAGCTTCAAACTGCACATAACAATGTTTACTGATAAGGGAAACTCTCAAGCGTAGCTGTCGTCTATAATTACACCCTGGTTATTATACTTAGGTAATTACACTCAGGAAATCACAATCAGGAATTTGCACTTACACACGTGCGCACGCAAGCGACCGCACGCACACACACGCACCCAGGGGACCTCGCGGCTGAGTGGACAGGGTTCGGGGATGGTTGTCATAAGGGCCCGGATTCGATTACCGGCCGAGGCAGAAACAAATGGACAGTTTCTTTCACTCCGATGCCCCTGCTCACCTAACAGTAAATAGGTACGTGGGAGTTATACAGCTGCTACGAGCTGTGTCCTGGGGATATGTACGCACCTAGTTGTACTCACCTATTTGTGCTTGCGGTGGTTGAGCTCTGGTTCATTGTTCCCGCCTCTCAACTGTCAATCAACTGGTGTACAGGTTCCTGAGCCTACTGGGCTCTATCATATCTACACTTGAAGCTGTGTATGGAGTCTGCCTCCACCCCATCACTACTTAATGCAGTCCATTTGTTAACTATTCTGACACTGAAAAAAATCTTTCTAATGTCTCTGTGCCTTATTTGAGTTCTAAGTTTCCACCTGTGTCCGCTTGTTCGTGTTCCACCCGTGCTAAAGAGTTTGTCTTTGTCCACCCTGTCAATTCCACTGAGAATTTTGTAGATGGTTATCATGTCTCCTCTTACTCTTCTGTTTTCCAGGGATGTGAGGTTCAGCTCCCTTAGCCTTTACTCGTAGGTCATACCTTTTAGTTCCGGGACTAGTCTGGTGGCATACTTCTAAATCTTCTCTAACTTTGTCTTGTGTATGGACTCCAGGCTGGAGCTGCATACTCCAGGACTGGTCTTACGTAAGTGGTATACAGGGTCCTGAACGATTTCTTACACAGGTTTCTAAAGGCAGTTCTTATGTTGGCCAACCTAGCATATGCCGCTGATGGTATCCTTTTATTGGGGGCCTTTGGGGACAGGTTTCGTGTGCTATCAACCCCCAGATCTTTCTCTCTATTTGTCTCTTGCAGGATATCACCTCCCAGATGGTACATTGTGTTCAGCCTTCTGTTCCCTTCGCCTAATTTCATTACTTTACACTTTCCTGAGTTGAACTTTAGTAGCCATTTTCACACGAATTTTTTTTCCCACACGCACTTTTTCACACATATTCGCACACACACTTTAGTGTGTATTCACCTAGTTGTAAACATAATACAACTAGGTGAAATACAGGTACACAACAAGACAGCTTGAGGAGCGCGAGTTGTATTTAACGTGCCGAGATAAAGGCAGATCCTACACTAATTGACAATTATAATACATTCGGAATTGGTAATTGTACTTCTACACGAATTGACAATTAAATCATAAAGAAAATATGAGTTATAGCACAATAGGATACCGGTAATTACAATACATCAGGGAATTGTTATTTACAATAAAGTATGAAATAGGCAAGTGCAATACTTGAGAGAACTGACAGACACATCTTCGTGAGTCGTGTCGCGCGGCTCCGACGTCAAACTTGCAGTTGCAATTTAAAATTCATTTTTACTTTTCCCTTTCACTTTTTCTCTCAACTTTATTCTCGTCTCCGTTTTGGGGATCATAAAAATTGCCAATTACAGCGCGACTGAAATTGTCAGTTACAGTACACGAGAAAATTGACAGTCAAAGTACTCAACAAAAAAGCAATTGTTCGCAGTGAGGTCCGTGGAGAGCTGGGGCCCGGATCACTAATACTTGTCCGTCCTGGAAATTAAAAGTGACGAGCGTGGGGGGGAAAGGGATATATAGCCATATATGTGTGAACTCACCTATAATAACCCACCTAAATGTCCTTGCAAGGACAGCTTCAGCTCCTGGGTCCCGCCCTATTTACTATGTATCATATTTCTGGCTCTCCTTGTAGTTCATTCCACTTGTTGGCTACTGAGGTAAGACGTGCTTCCTGACATACCTCCCTATGGTTCATCTGAGGTTCTAGCGTCCATCCATGCCTTCTCTCCCTATACCCTATGCAGTAAATCCCTATTTAGCAGTAAATAGGTACAAGGGAGTTAGACAGCTGCTACGGGCTGCTTCCTGGGGGTGTGTGTAACAAAAAGGAGGCCTGGTTGAGGACCGGGCCGCGGGGACGCTAAGCCCCGAAATCATCTGAAGATAACCCTGTTCATGATAACCTTAATTTTTTCCAAATTTGTCCTTGCCTCTTAAAAATTGTATATTGTGGTGACGGCTTCTTTTACCCTGTGTGGATAGGTCTAGTTTCACGAACCTTTCCTGTTTATAGTTTAGAACTGTTTATAGTTTTTCTTTGTGCTGTTTATAGATGGGGGGGGGGGGGGCTTCCCAGCGCGGGAAGATATCCTAGTGCCGGGCTACGTAAGTGGTGAACAGCTTCGTGAGAGCATCCTTCTACAGGTTCCTGGACGCTTTAAATGTTCCCCAGTTTTTAATACGCCGATTCTGTTATTCTATTAATGTGTGTGTGCTTCTGGTGACAGGGTTGGGGTTGTTTATTGCCGGATCTTTTACTTGTTGTAATTAAAGCACTTATCTTCTCATTACCTCGAACATTCCCCGAGGCCTGCTAGTCACACCAATTTGAAATGTCATTGCTTAGCATTTGTCTGGATTAAAGTCGAGTAACCGTTTTCCAGACCATTTTTGTAGTGCTTTAGGTACACTTCGCTCATTCTCTAGTTCTCGTGTGATCTGATTCGTCTCCTTTATATGGTGGGGATAACATTGACATGGCGGGTATAACATTGTAATGGTGGGCATAACGTTGATATAGTGGGTATATCACTGGCATGGTGGGCATAACATTGACATGTTATGTCTTTAACATCTATCACAAATATTATGACAGAATTGTCACCTTTAATGCTTATATATTTTCACCTGAGGTATTGTGACATTCTCTTCACTTTTTTAGTTATTTCACCCCACTCTAATATTTAACATTTCATTACTAATATTTGCTCCTTAGTCAATTGGTATTTTAGCACGTTGAAAAATAAATCCGCTTGTTTCTCAAGTTTGTCCATAGCCTCGTGTGTGAGACAGTGTTGAAGATTTTCTAGCAGCTCAGGAAAATGCAGTCTACCCTTCCTTCTCTTTCTTTCTCGATCTAGTGTTAAAGCTCTAGCTAGATATACAGGCACACCCTTCCTTGTGTGAACCCAAACCAAAACCTTGCCACAAGATTTATCAGCTCTCTGTGTATCACTAGTCTCCCGATTAATGTGTCTACTGTCGGACCATACTGCTTATACACGTCAAAAATACAGATCTGTAGTTTAGTGTCCCTTCTTATATATGTGGGTTTGAGAAGAGTCTTCCATCTGTCTGGTAGTTTCCCCTCCCTGATGAAACATTGTAGATTACCGAGGTTTGCTTAGAGCAACATCATCAGCGCAATTTTCCCGAGTGGAAAGGTAATTGGAAATGTGGACGGTAATAGTTCAAGAAATGTCTCAACTGGAGGAGAAGATCGCTTCACATATGTTGATCACGTTTGGTAAAAAGGTTGATGATATCTGATGACGGTATAATTTGGGTGGTATCTTTGTGTAGGCAGAGTAGGAGTGTAATTGAGTGATCCAGTTTTGTGAGTGTAACGGAATTTGTGTGTCGTCTCAGTGTAGTGAGTGGGATTGTATTTGTGTGTCGTCTCAGTGTAGTGAGTGGGAATGTATTTGTGTTTCGTCTCAGTGTTGTGAGTGGGAATGTATTTGTGTTTCGTCTCAGTGTAGTGAGTGGGAATGTATTTGTGTTTCGTCTGTGTTGTGAGTGGGAATGTATTTGTGTTTCGTCTCAGTGTAGTGAGTGAGAATGTATTTGTGTGTCGTATCAGTGTAGTGAGTGGGAATGTATTTGTGTTTCGTCTCAGTGTAGTGAGTGGGAATGTATTTGTGTGTCGTCTCAGTGTAGTGAGTGGGAATGTATTTATGTGTCGTCTGAGTGTAGTGAGTGGGAATGTATTTATGTGTCGTCTCAGTGTAGTGAGTGGGAATGTATTTATGTGTCGTCTCGGTGTAGTGAGTGGGAGATAATTATTTTCGTTTTTATGTATTCCAGGGACAGTTTTTGAAGGAAGATGTAAGAGTTGGCTGAGAGGATTCAGGGTTCAGTGTTGTTACTGAGATAAACTGTCCTCTGGCAGTCCCTGTGAGGCGATGGATGAGGAGTGAGGTCTCCTGGTCCTCATCATGAGAAAAATAATAAGGGATAAGGAAGACAAAAGACTGGGGCTATTTTATGGACATTTTGTAGGCTGATATGTTTCATGTATCTGTGGGACGTGAAGATAGTGACACAGTCTGAGAGTTGGATTATCTTCCTGGTTTAGTTTACTCGGAGGGTGAAAATATGATGTCAGTTAAGAGAGGTTAGACGCGTATGCCAGTGGGGCAATATTACTGAAGATGTGTGTCGTGACAGCCTGAAGCAACGGGGTCGTTGAGATTCCCTATGACTAGTAATGTCTTGTGTATAGACCTTGTCCAGTTCCTGCGACGGCGTTGGAATCAACCGTATTGACGTATGCCATTCCATTGGAGACTTTCAGCGCCGTGGAGAGGGGGGACCTGCTGCCTGGGTTCTCAGCTTCTCCCCCGAATCAACCTACCCTAGCTATGCGCCCTGGTGAGGCCACTCCAGACCGACAACCAGAGCGCAACTCCGTAGTCTCTTGAGACTGATGGATGCCTACTAGACCTTGTGAATTTTTCTGTTTGACTTGTTATGCAACTGAGAACGGAAATTATTAATGAATACATAAATATAAGCCATATATAATAAATTCCCTGTATATCTGTTTGTGACTGCCTCTCTGGCTCACTCTCTCTCTCTCTCCCTCTCACAGAATCGTAACAGAGGTGGCACTCGGGCTGACGTTGTTCGGGGCTTGCACTGTGTACCTGCTGTTGGCCTCGCAGTTGATACGAGACCTGGTGGGACAGCTGATACCCAGCATCACTGAGTGCGCCTGGAGCCTCATCATCGGCTTGTCACTCATACCCATCAGCTGGCTTGGCACTCCCAAGGATTTCTGGTGAGTAATTGACACTGTTAGGGAGCAGGGAAGTAGGTGGGATAGGGAGGGCTTATTTATACGTGTTGGTCTGTGGTGCCAGAGGTGGTATTTGCTTTACTCGTCATCATAATCAAAGAGAATATTTAATTCTTACTCATTGGTTCACTCATTTAATCTTTCATTCACTGACTTCCTCATTCGCCCACTCGCAGTCACGCACTTACTCTCACAGTACTTTCACTCAATAACTCATTCACTAACTCATTTACTTACTCATTCGTAACTCATTAACAACCAATCTCATATATAATCTCACTCACCGATTGATAGAATGTAAAATGCAAATACAGAATATCCTTTACCTCAATACACGGGAAACTAAACAAAATCAACTAGAGAACGACCCTTGGAACATGCCTTCTGGCCTTGTAATCCTTACAGAAGCTGCGGAGAGCGAGAGATTTGTGTCGCTCCAGGGATAATTAGCTTCACGACAGGAAGATGCAATATATTATATTTAAATCGTTCCGAAGATGTAGAGGAATATTCGTATATTATCACGATTTTGTTACCACCATGATAACTACCACTGCTGACATTTTTACTAATAAACCCACGGCTGACATCACCGTAACATTGACGATATACTTTTCACCGCTGCTAATACCGGCACACTTAGGTGACAATAGCTACGAACTCCGCACTGTTGACACCACCGACTTGCCTCCACAATGCCACCGACCCCACTGCTGAAACCCCTAATACCTTACCTCCTTTACTGCCACCACACATCAAAGACTTCAAGGAGATAATATAGCGCTGGTCTGCTTATGAACGGTGTGTGTGTGTGTGTGTGTGTGTGTGTGTGTGTGTGTGTGTGTGTGTGTGTGTGTGTGTGTGTGTGTGTGTGTGTGTGTGTGTGTGTGTGTGTGTGTGTGTGTGTGTGTGTGTGTGTGTGTGTGTGTGTGTGTGTGTGTGTGTGTGTGTGTGTGTGTGTGTGTTCACCTAGTTGTGCTTTGGGGGGTTGAGCTCTGCTCTTTCAGCATGCCTCTCAACTGTCAATCAGTCAACTGTTACTAACTACTACTAATTTGTTTTCACCACACACACACACATACATCCCCAGGAAGCAGCCCGTAGCAGCTGTCTAACTCCCAGGTACCTATTTACTGCTAGGTAACCGATGTGAAAGAAACTCTGCTCATTTTGTGTCTGCCATGACCGGGGATCGAACCTGGACCCTAGGATTATGAGTCCAGACCTCTGTCCACTCAGCTATCGACCCCTGTACTTATCTAGTTGTGCTTCCGGGGGTTGAGCTCTGACTCTTTGTTCCCGCCTCTCAACTGTCAATCAACTGATGTACAGATTCCTGAGCCTATTGGGCTCTATCATATCTACATTTGAAACTGTGTATGGAGTCAGCCTCCACCACATCACTAGGTGATGTGGTGGAGGCAACTTGTCAACTACTCTAACACTGAAAAAAATCTTTCTAATGTCTCATACACAAGGGATGGGTATGGGGTTCAGTAAAGAAAAAAATTGAATTGGTCGCCAGTAATCACAAGGGAACAGTGTGCCAGGGTAAGGTCACATTCAGGCGGCGACCCCGACCAGCCTATGTTGATTCCGTACGCCAGACCATTCCCTCTGCCAATTTGGGTGGGTCTAGCCCCAAGCAGATGACCACGAGCTTTGAACTGACACATATATATTCAAACACATGTTCCTTGGATTCATACCCTGTTTTTAGCACAACAGTTGCATTTTTTACGGAATGACAGATAGAAAAAACAGACTCCAATGATCCTCCACAGCGATCAACTCTTTACTGTCGTCCCCCCTTTCCCTAGGCCTGCGTCGGTCGTGGCGGTGTCGTCGACGTTCTTGGCCTGCCTGGTGGTCATCGGGGTGGTCATCGCCCGCAGGGACAACTACGACCCCGCTCTCTACCCAGCGCCGACCTTCAACTCCTTCTTCCTGGGCTTCGGTTCAATCCTCTTCGCCCTCGGGGGAGCCTCCATCTTCCCTACCATCCAGAACGACATGAGGGTCAGGTCGGAGTTCCCTCAGTGTGTGATCATCACATTCTTGGGTAAGTGTGGGCAGGAGGGGGTAGTTGTTGATGTTGATGGGGGTAGTTCTTGATGTTGAGGGGTAGTTGTTGATGTTGAGGGGTAGTTATTGATGTTGAGGTGGAAAAAGAGGAAATGTTCACAATGGACGCCAGTAGTACAGGGGGACACGGATGGAAGCTTGGAACTTAGATGTGTCATACAGATGTTAGAATGTTTTCTTTTAACGTAAGTAGTGTGAAAACGGAATAAACTAAAGATGCAGGTTGTAGAGGCCAACTCCATTCGTAACTTGGTAGGTATGATAAGGAAATAGGTCAGGAGCTGCAGTAGACAATAGGTGGCTAGGAAAGCGGGGTCCAAGAGCTAGAGCTCGATCCTACAGGCATAAAAAGGTGGGTAATAATAGATGAGAACGCAACCTTTAACAAATTAGTAATGTTATGCTTTTAATTATATTTTTTTATTACTATTATCAATATTGTTGCAGCCTCTACACCATTCACTTCTCTCTCTATACAATTAATTGTCTCTCACTTTCACACTTCCTCTTCCTCTCTCTTTTTTCATTCACAGCCTATCTCTCCCTTCTCATTCTATCTCCCACCCTCACTTTCTTTGCGAGTGTTTTTTCTGTTCCTCGTTCTCACTTTTCTGTTCCTCGTTCTCTTACTCTCATTTTTGGTCTTACCTGTGTTTCTCACTTTCTATGTGACAAACATAGAAAGTGTTTCTCTCTTGCACTCTTACTTTATGTGCGAGTATATATCTGTTTCTGTTTCACTTTAAGGTTCTGTGCGTCTGTCATCCTCTCACACTCCTAATTTCTCTCCTTTCTCTTGCTCACACTTTCATGTTTTGATTGCCTTCTTTTCCCATTCTTCTTTCACTTTCTGTACGTGTGTCTATCTCTCACTTTCTCACAAACTTTGTCTCTTTTCCTCTCTCACCATCTCAATTTCTATCCGTCTCTCACACTCATACTTTGGGTCCTCCACTCTCAAATCCTCTTACTTTCTCCACCTATCACTTTCACGCTCATTTTCTGTCACCGCATCTCTCACACACTGCCTGTGTACGCACCTATTTGTGCTTGCGGAGGTTGAGCTCTGACTCTTTGGTCCTGCCTCTCAACCGTCAATCAACTGGTGTACAGGTTCCTGAGCCTACTGGGCTCTATCATATCTACACTTAAAACTGTGTATGGAGTCAGCCTCCACCATATCACTTCTTAATACACTCCATTTGTCAACCACTCTGACACTAAAAACTGTCTCTCTGTTTCTCGCCACCAGTGCTGCTGGCCCTCTACCTGCCCATGGTGACTGTGTGCTACGGTGTCCTGGGTGCCAACGGTATTCACGACAACATTCTCCTGGCGGTGTCCGGCTGGGCGGTCACTGTAACCCAAGCCTTCCTCTTCTGCCACTTCATCTTCGCCTTCAGCATCATCGTCAACCCTCTCAACCAGACTCTGGAGGGGCTCTTCAATTTGCCAAATAGTGCGTGTTGCCTTACGTGAGATGAGGGGAGGGGGAACGAGGGGCTTGTAGGATTAGGAGGTATAGGATAACAAGTTCTCTTGTTGATTGGTCAGTAGCTCCCGCGGTGACCTTAATCACCCACCAGAGACCAATAGGGCCTCAGCCCAACGCCTCACCAGAGTGGCATGCATGAATAACAGTATGGTCTTCGATTATAATGGTCTTAGTGATATGCATAATACGATGCATAATAATCATCTGTGAGTTTCGCAATAGAAGACGAAATAGTCATATGTTGACGGGGTATTTTATTGTCACAGAACATGGCTAGGATACCTAGACATAGGGCCGGAATAAAATATTTATAGGATTAATACCTAAAAATTTGTATATATATATATAGTCAAGAACTGTTCCTGATAAAACTTATGGAATATATTTATATTAGAGGTAATTGAGTTCTTTATATGTAGCTCAAGCTGCAGTGACCAATAGTCTTTGATACCACACTCATGCCAGTTTCTGTCGCCTAAAAAAATATTTGCCTTTAGAATCAAAATTTTTGTTTCCCATTCCCGTAGCCAACGATTTTCCAGGTGATCTTAGTCTGTTCATTTGGACTGGTTGATACAGGGATGCCCTCGCTGTTTGCAAGGTTAGCGTTCGATCCCAGATAGTTTTTATGGTTGGGCACGGATCCTTCACACTGTTCTCATATCCCAGATCCTTATTCTCATATCCCAGCTCCTTGTCTTCATATCTCAGCTCCTTGTTTTCATATCTCAGCTCCTTGTCTTCATATCTCAGCTCCTTGTTTTCATATCTCAGCTCCTTGTTTTCATATCTTAGCTCCTTGAGTACATATCTCAGCCCTTTGTCTTCATATCCCAGCTCCTTGTCTTCATATCCCAGCTCCTTGAGTACATATCTCAGCTCCTTGTCTTCATATCCCAGCTCCTTGTCTTCATATCTCAGCTCCTTGTCTACATATACCAGCTCCTTGACTACACATCCCAGCACCTTGTCCTCATATCCCAGCTTTTTGTCTTCATATCCCAGATCCTTAACTGTTCTCATTACCCTTCTAATTGCTATGTAATCATACGCGCTTTGCACATTTTCCTGGAAATGACTTTACCTGACCTTCCCCAAGTAACCACGCCCAAGTCCCACCTGACATCCGCAACTCTTGCTCCCCGCTGACCTCAGTCGTGACCTGTGATAACACCCGGCAGGGCTGGGCGTGCGTCGCTGCCTTCTGCGCACCGGGGTCCTCCTGGTGGTGATGCTGGTGAGCCTGGCGGTGCCGGAGTTCAGCAAGATCTTGGACTTGGTTGGTGGGTCTACCGTGGCTGTCCTCTCCTTTGTGCTTCCTCCACTCTGCTACCTCCGTCTCTGCGCTGTCCAGGGCCACGATGGCCTTCCACTGAGGTAGGTGGAGGTGCTAGTGGGCTAATTTAGGGATGAATGTGAGGTAATTATCACGAGAAAGTACTAAGCCAGTACGGCTACATAGTATATGATTTACGGATGAAATGGGAGATAGAGAAGTTGGTGTGTGTGGGTGAATAGGTCAACCATAGGGTGGGTAGTGGGTAAGTGAAGGTGGAAGGTGGTTAGGTGAATGGTGGGTAGGTGGGTAAGTGGAAGGTGGGTAGGTGAATAGTGGGTAGGTAGAAGGTGTGTAGGTGGAATAAACTAGTGGGTGCGGCGTGAATCAGCAGTTAGGGTTGTAGGGGTAAAATTTGAGGGAAGTTGGTTGAATCAGCAGATGGGTGAGAGGTTATTTGGTCCTTGTATATAAATTGGTGGGTATGTAAGGGAATAGGTGGGTATGATAGGCAGCTGAATAAGTGTTTTACAGGTGTTTTATAGGTGGCTGAGGAAGTATGTAGATAAATGTGGCAGGTGGGTGAGTAGATAGGTTAGGCAAGTGTGACAGAGTAAGGGTGAAGGTAGGTGTGACAGTGTAAGGGTTCGCAGATCTAGGACCGGTGAACAAGATTAAATCCTGGTGAGTCTCGACCGAGTTCTTCATTTGGTACGATTCGACTCGTTTGCTATAACATAAAATGACACAAATACACACACTCCCAAGAAGCAAAACTACTTTGTCTAAAAGATTCCTAAATATAGAATTAATGGGTTATCACAATCAGCGAAATGTCCTCTCCAAGACCCCGAACTAACACAGAGACAATAGAAGCAAGAACATAGGCTGTTAATAATAGCATATTAATAATAGCCTATTAATATCCATTATGTATCATCCACTTGTTCATCTCAATCACGTCCTGTACCACCTCACACAAAGAGAATAGAAGCTCTTACTAAAGCATTGTAAATTTGTCTTTGAAAATGTCAAAAGTGCCTTCACCTTTGAAGGTGATTCACCTTCAAAGTATAGTATTCACCCTTAAAGTATGGTATTCACTTTCAAAGTATGGTATTCACCTTCAGAGTATGGTGTTCACCTTGAGAGTATTGTATTCACCTTCAGAGGACCATGACGGCAACATGATTCACAGACAACACAGACACAATACACTAAAGATCTCACAGATATAAAGAAGAAACAAACATACAAGCACACAAATAATAATAAACAAATTAATATCCCCAATCAGTTCCACACAACTTTGGTCCGGTTACACAAACAAAAATACAACATTCCCCAATAACTATAATAAACCAGAATAAATATAAAGCAATCATACAATTAATGGAGCGAGAGTATTGAAGATGGTGCATTACAGTAATTACAAAATCAAGAGATGAGCCTTAGGGCGACTCTGCTGCTTAATTCCTCGATGTTTCCTCCACCAGAGGCGGCTGGGTTGCTCCCTAGACCATTAGTAGATTAATCTAACATAGGTAGCCTTCCAGGCTTCTCCCTTGCTTTGATAATCACCTACCAACACGCTGTAAATTCCGATGGGTTAAGTGTGTGCGTATGTCCACGCTCAGGTCTTTGTGCTCAGGTACTGAACATGTATAGTCCTGCTACAACTGCTGAGCTGACACTGTGGGTGCTATGTCGACGGTGGACACGGCATCTCCGCCATTGTTCTCTACGCAGACTCCTCAACCTGTTTGTCTTAACCGTGTTGTGTGGTTATTTGCTATTTGTATTTACTATTTTTGTCTGCAGAATCGAGTCATTAGCTCCTGGACCACGCCATTCTAAGCAGTCTATATTTTCTCTATAATATCTACAACATATATTTATCTCTAACACACACGCACACACATCCCCAGGAAGCAGCCAGTAGCAGTTGTCTAACTCCCAAGTGTCTATTTACTGCTAAGTGAACAGGTGCATCAGGGTGAAATAAACTCTGCTTATTTGTTTCCGCCTCAGCCGGGAATCGAACCCGGGCTATGAGGATTAATACCCCCAGCAACTATACACCCTGCCACAAGGACCCTTTGTGCGAGTTGTTGTTGTGTACTCACCTAGTTGTGCTTGCGGGAGTTGAGCTCTGGGTCTTTGCTCCCACCTCTCAACAATTAATAAACTAGTGTACAGATTCCTGAGCCTACTGGGCTCAATCATATCTACTTTTGAAACTGTGTATGGAGTCAGCCTCCACCATATCATTGCATAATGAATTCCACCTGTTAACTATTCTTACACTTAAAAAGTTCTTTCTAACGTCCTTGGAGCTCATTTGGGTACTCAGCTTCCACCTGTGTCCCCTTGTGCGTGTACCACCCTTGTTAAATAATCAATCCTTGTCTACCCTGTCAATTCCCCCTGAGAGTTTTGTATATAGTGATCATGTTTCCCCGAGCTCTTTTGTCTTCCAGCGACGTGAGGTGCAGTTCACGCAGTCTTTCCTCATAACTAATGTCTCTTAGTTCTGTTACTAGCCTAGTGGCATACCTCTGAACTTTTGTTCTCACCTAGTAGTGCTTGTGGAGTTGAGCTTTGGCTCTTTGGTCCCGCCTCTCAACTGTCAATCAACTGGTGTACAGATTCCTGAACCTACTAGGCTCTAGCATATCTACATTTAAAACTATGTATGGAGTTTGCCTCTACCACATTACTGCCTAATGCATTCTATCTGTTAATTACTCTGACACTGAAAAAGTTCTTTCTAACGTCCCTGTGGCTCATTTGGGCACTCAGTTTCCACCTGTGTCCCCTTGTTCGCGTACCCACCTGTGTTAAACAGTTTATCTTTATCTACCCTGTCAATTCCTCTGAGAATTTTGTAGGTAGTGATTATGTCTCCCCTAGTGTGTGCGTGTACTCACCTAATTGTGCTTGCGGGGGTTTAGCTTTGGCTCTTTGGTCCCTGTACTCACCTATTTGTACTCACCTATTTGTGCTTGCGGGGGTTGAGCTTTGGCTCTTTGGTCCCGCCTCTCAACTGTCAATCAACTGGTGTACAGATTCCTGAGCCTACTGGGCTCTATCATATCTACATTTAAAACTGTGTATTGAGTCAGCCTCCACCACATCACTTCCTAGTGCATTCCATCCGTTAACTACTCTGACACTGAAAAAGTTCCTTCTAACGTCTCTGTGGCTCATGTGGGTACTCAGTTTCCACCTGTGTCCCCTTGTTCGCGTCCCACCAGTGTTGAATAGTTTATCCTTGTTTACCCGGTCGATTCCTCTGAGGATTTTGTAGGTTGTGATCATGTCTCCCCTTACTCTTCTGTCTTCCAGTGTCGTAAGGTGCATTTCCCGCAGCCTTTCCTCGTAACTCATGCCTCTTAGTGTGTGTGTGTGTGTGTGTGTGTGTGTGTGTGTAGACATCAGACAGGCACACGTGGGATAACATGTAGGCCAAAGTATAAAAGTTACTAAATAGGCGAGTATACACATTGATTCCCATGATCATAAATACTCAAGTACACTTTTGTGAGAAAAACCAGTTAAGTAAAAGTATGTGAGTACACACCAATCATTCCACACATGTATGAGTCGTTGTAACCGTCCATGTACTCACATATGTAACACGACATGTTGTCAGTTTCACCTCCCCACTGCTTCATTACTGTCTCTGGTGGTGTGGACAGAGAGCTGAAGCGTGTAGAGCAGGTGGTGCTGACCGTTATTGTGGGCGTGGGCGTGGCTGGGGGCGTGGCGGCCACCTGGAGCGCCCTCAGGGAGATTCTCAGCCCGGGGGCATTCACCACCACCTGCTTCTCCAGCGCCACCTTTCTCGACTAGGTGACTATCTCCCAACTCTCCCACCTGCTCCACCTACTCCACCTTCTTCGGCTAGGTGGCTCTCTATTCCTTCACCCGCTACACCAACATCACCTACCTCGGCTAGTGCAGATGGGAGAAGAAGAAGAAAATATTAGCAGTGTGTTCCTTGGTGCCTTCTTCACTGCAGGAAATATGTCGTCTGTGTTGGTAACGACAACCTATCTTGAGTAGTTGTGGGTCCACGACACCTTCAGGTGTTGCTGGTCCCACGACACCTGCAGGTGTTGCTGGTCCACGACACTTTCAGGTGTTACAGCAGACCAATGTCTGGCTTAGCAGCATTTTCTTCTTTACCAGACAGACCAGGCTAAACATTTAAATAAAATATATATTTGCATATATATATATATATATATATATATATATATATATATATATATATATATATATATATATATATATATATATATATATATATATATGACACACCAGAACACCTTTAAACTAAATGGCCTTAGTGATCAGGTAGACCTTCTGACAGACTCACTCAAATCCCAGGTGCTTAATCGGCGTCCCTATAACCTTATGAAGGAACACCGTCTAGCACTTAAAAACCTCTGCGACAGAAGGGATGTGGTCATAAAACAAGCAGACAAAGGGGGTTCGGTAGTCCTGTGGAAGAAGAGGAACTACGAAGAAGAGATGGGGAGACATTTGAACGATACCCAGCCAGTATCTTAACCTTTGTATCGGCCCATACTTATTTACTGTATCCAACTTAACCTTTCGGTCATATTCAACAATATATATATATATATATATATATATATATATATATATATATATATATATATATATATATATATATATATATATATTCTTGTAACCATCAAATGCATAATAAAGCACAAAAAATAAAAAAGGAAGGGGGTGGTAGGAGAAAAGCACACAGAAACTGTATTGGATGGGATCTAAACATTCCCTCTAATGCGTTATGCGTGGTTTCCTCCGAGGCTATGGGTCCCCCTTCTTCCAGCTAGAGGTGGTACTCCCTTCCATATATATATATATATATATATATATATATATATATATATATATATATATATATATATATATATATATATATATATATATATATATATATATATATATATATTTTGGTAGCAGTCTTTCCTGTAGACATATATTATTAAATATGACCGAAAAAGTAAGATTAATAATTCTAACACGAATTTTCTCAATCTTTCGTACATTTCTTTTCACTGTTGGAGGTAAATCAAAAATCAATTCTCCAAAATTCATTTTTATTTCTAGTCTGACGCGACACGAGCGCGTTTCGTAAAACTTATTACATTTTCAAAGACTTTAGTTTACAAATACACAACTGAATAGAACTTACGCATCTCCGATTTTATATCTACATTTGAGTGAGGTGGAAGGGGTGATGTGGCATGGGGTAATTTCATCAGGTGGCATTAATAGGGTATTAATTTCATCAACACAAGACAGAACAAGAGGTGGCATTAATAGGGTATTAATTTCATCAACACAAGACAGAACACGAAACAATGGGTATTGAATAGAAGTGTTTGTAGAAAGCCTATTGGTCCATATTTCTTGATGCTTCTATATTGGAGCGGAGTCTTGAGGTGGGTAGAATATAGTTGTGCAATAATTGGCTGTTGATTGCTGGTGTTGACTTCTTGATGTGTAGTGCCTCGTTAACGTCATGCCGCCTGCTATCGCTGTATCTATCGATGATTTCTGTGTTGTTTACTAGGATTTCTCTGGCGATGGTTTGGTTGTGGGAAGAGATTATATGTTCCTTAATTGAGCCCTGTTGCTTATGCATCGTTAAACGCCTAGAAAGAGATGTTGTTGTCTTGCCTATATACTGGTTTTTTTGGAGCTTACAGTCCCCAAGAGGGCATTTGAAGGCATAGACGACATTAGTCTCTTTTAAAGCGTGTCTGGAGAGTTTCTCATGAGTAGGCTGGCCGTTTTTCTGGTTTTATAGTAAATCGTCAGTTGTATCCTCTGATTTTTGTCTGTAGGGATAACGTTTCTATTAACAATAGTTAATATATCGTACGTTATATATCATATGTATATATCATATATCTACGTTAATTTTAACTCCAATAAAAAAAATTGATTTCATACATAATGAAGCGGGTAGCTTTATCATTTCATAAGAAAAAAATTAGAGAAAATATATTGATTCATGAAAACTTGGCTTATTAGGCAAATCGGGCCTTGCATAGTAGGCCGAGAAGTGCGTTCTGGCTACTAGGTACGATATATATATATATATATATATATATATATATATATATATATATATATATATATATATATATATATATATATATATATATATATATATATATTTATTTATATTAATATTTTTTGTTGAATATGACCGAAAGGTTAAGATTAATAATTTTAACACGAATCTTCTCAATATTTCTTTCGTTTTTCTCCACTGTTGAGGATAATTGAAAAATTAACTCTGCAAAATTAATTTGTTACATTATTATTTTTGATCTGACGCCTAAAAGCGTTTCGCAAGGGCTTCTTACATTTTCAAAGACTTGTGTATTACATCAATAGAAGTGCACTTCTGGAGACTGTGCAACCAGAAATATATGTATTATTGAACACGTTACTAATACTCTGAACAGTCTATTATACTTCATTTGCAAGTAGGAGGAATTGAGCAGCATCACTCTTAACACCAAAATGCCGTCCTGAGTCGCCAGGACACCGTAAAGAGCATGAAACACATCAGTGATCAAAGGAGGCTACGAACACTTGAGGCCGTAGTCATTCGAGAGCTGGTCCCCGTAATTAACACTCATCTAAATTTAACATCGAGCATACAATTAAGTACTGGTCCTACTTTGACCCAGAGGAAAGATAACAGTCTCATTAGACAACAGTTAACTGAAGCTACGCAACAATCACCTCATCCCAATACTTATTTTGTTCTCTACAGTTAAGGATAAATCATTCTCAATAATGAGTAGTGCGAAGTAGGGTGAGGTGAACCCACTATTATATAATTTGTCAAAAACGTACACAATAATATAGGTGTATGTTTTTGCGTGTAATTGTTTAATGTTATCTGTATATTCTTGAAGGTGCCACGTTGTTGATGTCAAAATAAAATGGAAAGACTGAGTGATTAAAGGTTTCTTCACCCTCTAGATATTTAAGCAGAACGGAAAATATCCATAAGAAAGTTAGCAAATGTAATAATGCTGTCGCAATAAATAGTTTCTTATCTCAATAAACATATTTGAACTTGAACTTGAATAAATAGTTATTTACTTACATTTTGTATTGTAATGGTTTTAATTACGGTGTATTCAGTTAAATAAAAAAAAATATTTATAATGTACTTTTTGGTGATGACGATGAGATGTTCCCACACACACGCTTCTAGCGACTAGGCCATGACAAGGTTTGCAGGATTGCAACCTGCAGCTCTACTGAAGACAATTATTTACCAAGGCTTCTTCTGAAACCAGAACAGGATTTTCACACAATCCTCCCATGCACACTGGCTGTGTTATCTAGGACTTGTTCTACCTTTGACGCTCCTCTTTCAATACAAAGAATGTTTTTATGTTATGAATTCCTAATCCTGTTTCAGCTTCAGTAGAAGTCTCAGGAAATCCTTGTGGGTTCAGTAGAAACCCAGGTTGCAATCCTTATACCATGTCGAGGTCTAGTGGCTAGAAGCGTGTGTGTGGGAACACCCACCGCATAGGTGCCCCCCACACACCACCTGCACCAAGAGTTTCCCCGCCGCCCCCCCCCCCCACCACGAATATCTCACCCTTCTCCGCTTTCGTCTGGCCCCCATATGTGTTATCCCATTTCCTTTCCAGCGCCCATTTTGCCATTCCGCAAGAGGAAAAGGTCTGGAATCGTTCTATAAACTTTCCAGAATGCATTCAAGACTGTAAATGCAGCTGTAAGGTTTCCCGAAACGTTCGCCAGCAGGAAATAGTTTTTGGTTCAACATTGCTCGTAAACTATGCGTCCCGAGGAGTAAATATTTATTGGTTATATTGTACACAAAAAAAACGGTAACTCTTTTTATGATCTCCCATACTCCTTAAGATTTCAGAGAGTTGAGAGTCTCTCGGAACCCTCTCTGAAGGGTTCTTCCCTTCCGTCCACCGTATCTCCTGTCTCGCATGACAGGAGATATGGTTGTCGGAATATAGAAAACTGTCAAGGTATTCCGAGTTAATCTCTTAGGACTGGATATGTCGTTGGAAGATTATTGATGTTAAAAAAAATCAAAGTCATGTGTAGATAAGGATAACAAAAGGGAAGATAAAGAAGGAAGAAGAAGGGAAGAAGAAAGGGGACGAGAGCATATGGAAAGATGTGGTCGATATCACTGGCCTCTAAAGGAAGATTTCCTTCTCTACTTTAGACTCCTGATCTTCACTCTACCCTGTCATCACAGACACTGTACCCCGCATCACAATACCCTTTACAGACTGTACCACGCCTCACTATCATACACATACACTATACCCCTCCTCACAACCCTATGCAGACACTGTACCTGCACCCACCACCTGCACCTTACTACAATCACAGACACCTGTATCCCACCTCTCTTCCCTACACACAGACACTGTATCCACATTCTATACTACACAGACTCTCTACTCAGCCTTATTACAGGACACAGTACCCCGCCTCACTACACTACAGTGTAACCAACCTTGTCTCTGCAGCCATAGAGCCCAGAGCACACGTTGACAGAGAGGAAACTGTGGCGCAGCTCCACCACACTGAACTTTTCAGCTTCCACTGTGATGTGAAGCGAAGTTTTTAACCACCTCAACCGCGCCACTTTAACACTAATACTACTAGTCACTCACCTCGAGAACCTGAACAACTCGACAGAACGTGGAGGAACGCCTGTCCCCCGCAGCACCTACACATTAATCTGCAGCCTTCGCCAGGGCCTGGAAAATATTAGCCGACTTCGCCCGTTGTCTACTTGCAACACACTGTTTACCTGCTTCACCAGGCTGGCCGCGGGCCCTCCCGTCGATGGCGTCCTCCATCAGCTCCTTAGGTGATTTCCCACGGATTTATATTTCAGAGAGTCTGAAGATTGTATGCTAGGCTAGGTCGAGTGTCTGAATGCTCAGATAAAAAAAATTCCCACTTTATCCTCCAGGAAGGAGCAAATAATAGCTTCATAAAATATAAAAAAAATTGCTAAAAATAATCTTTTACAATCTACCGTGCATGGCATAGATTGAATAATTGATTCCAGTTAATTTGTACTGTGAGGATAAGGATATATATATTGCTGTTTTTCCTGGCTGATCCTGATCCTGCTTCTCTATCGTGCATGGCAAACCA